AAATTTTTTGGAAAGCAGCAGAAAAGTGGTAAAAGAACAGCTTCAAAATCAGCTACGGGGTTGAATCCTGAAAAATAAAAATTTCTGCTGCAAGAAATGCATCTTACATTATTCCAGCGCAATGAACCAAGAAACGGACAGACAACCATCATCTTGAAACAACAGGGGCAGCAGACCGTTTTGGTTGTGGTCACACTAGAAGAGGCGACAAGTACAGCTCTACTGTCTCATGCGAGTACCTCGGCTGGAATTTAACTTGACTCACTACAGCCCCATATCCAATGTGATAACGTGCATGAGGTGCTTCCAATTATTTATTTTTAATTAAAATTAGCATTTTCTTCTCACGCCAATTTTCAGCAAGCTATCAGGTGGGTCAAGGTAAAATGTAGCTAAGAAAAGCAAACAACAGACACCGCAGCCGTATTTCTCTCACATTTTAACACGACAACATTAAAGTGTCATGATGTCTCTATTATTCGCATGTCAACGACCTATTAAGCAGTGTTCAGCGCATTGCACCGAAAAAAAATTGGGTGAACGCCTTGGTCAAGAGAATTTGTAGCTCAGACAGTCAGTTTTAATTATTGCTGGTTTTTTCCGGTCGAGGAAAAAGTTGCGTCACAGGGTGTTTCCAACTTTTCCACTCCTTTGCAAGAGTTTGCGCATTGCTAAAACATAATTCGAGTATGAAGCAGAATCCGTCGAAACACTTGTTCCAGGTCACTGTCGATCATGCAATGGATCTTTGGCAGGTCGACTGGGCAAGTAGTAACTGTTACGCCTTTCTGTCTGGAACCATTCACAATATATGCCCAAACCATCACTGCTGTAACTTTTCAATCTGACAAACAGCGGATATATAACAAGGCTGCTCATTCCGTAAATCTGTATTCCACACCATGTCAACACGAGTGAGCACAGCGATTCATCTCAAACACCAATTAAGACCTTTGTATCATGGATCGAAGTTTATAAGTCGTGGGCCACGACTTCTGATTGTAAGTGAGCCTCGGGATGAAGATCGATTTGAACACAGAGAGGATAGTCTTCAGACACAGTTCTGCTTTACTTACAATGTTTTAGGCCAGTTAACGCAGAACACCACTGGCCATTCCAATTTGCCCATCGATCTCATACACCAATTTTCCGCCATCCATAGGCACACCACCGAGAGAGTGAATTTCTCAACTTGTTCCACTGCTTCTCCGTTCATCTGAACGGAGCAACGGGCAGGAGAACGAGAAAGCACTAGGCTTTTCGTTTTAGATGCGTTAACACGCATGCCGGCCACATCGAACTCGGCTACAAAACTTTCGAGAGCGCTGAAGATCAGTTTCAGAAGATGCCAATAAAACAAGGTCGTCTGCAAACAGCAACCTTCTCGTCTCTGCATCTCCTAGGTTGACATTCTCATCGCCCTGGCTGCGTCAAATTGTTTCATCCATGTACAAAATACAAAAGAGAGATGCCAGGAAGCAAATCTGGCAAAAACACGTATCAACGCTGAAACGTCTCGACTGAGACCTATTTATTCCGATGCTGTACTTGCAATCAACATACAGTGATTGGATGACTCATGGCAACTGGATGTCAATCATATATGTTTGCAGGCACAACCATGATCCGCTGCGCTGAATCTGATGACAGGTGTTCTCAAGGTCAACAAAGTACATCATCCAAACGGCATCAATCAAATATAATGATTTCTCAACAATCGGGAGTATGGCGAAGGTCTGCTTTTCTTGTATTTCCGAGTCAGTTATTCCAAGGCGTCTTTATTCTCATATTCGCGTCGACTTTTACTCCAAGGCTCAACAAGGTAGTGCGTCAATATTCAGAGCACTTTCTATGATCTCCCAGTTAAACATGGGTACAATAATCTCCGTTTCCAGTCTAATGGGGTCTTCGTAGCCATTTCACTTAGAAAGACATGTATTCGTCAAAAATGCGTTATTTCCTTAAATCTTTACGCATTCCCGCAGCCGCACCACTTTTCAAGCTTTTAACAGTTTCTGTGATTTCAATTACTGAAGTAAATATCCATTGGAAGCTGTTTTTCAAGTGAGTTTTCCTGTTGTTACTCGGGGTTGAAGAGTTCATCAAGATACTCGTTAAATCGCCGATCATTGCTTGTCCTTCAGAACCGGTAATCTGCCGTTTTTCCCATCTTGAAGTCAGATGATAGTTCGCCAAGATACCTCGTCTGTGTATGGAAATTCGACTCCAGCGCCGAACGGTCTAATGAAATCCAGAAATCAGCTATCGTTTTGGCCGCTGCTTAGGATACCGTTTAGTAAGTTTCTTCGTGATTGCATTCTAGCTGAATCCACCTCTTGAACGCCGCCCTCTTCTGGCTGAATCCTGCTGAATCTCTCACCTTTATACCAGCAAGTTCATTTCAGACCTCCAGGTGGCAGGCCAACCCGTTTGAATCCGCAGCATTCGGCGGCAGCCTCGAGGATGCCGCTCTTAAAGAGCTGCCATTCGGTTTCTATATCAGTTGTCATCACCGGGATCTGTTCAAACCGTCATGCGATGTTTCTCGTATCCACCGAAGATAATGCCTCCCATTTGATTTCAGACATCAGTTTCTCGAACTGAGGTTATTTACAAGAAATTTCTTCTGCTTTTCCGGTTCTCTCATTGCACTGAAATAAATTATAAGACTGGGCAGCGATTTAGCTTTGTGCAGCTTCGGATAGCTTTGGTTGTGTTTAGTTCCCGAATGCGCTGGGATGGCTTTCAGAAACGTAACGTTCAAAAGATGGCTTCAGCAGAGTCCTTCAACAGCGATTGACCCAACCGTATTATTGCAATGGTGATGAATATCGCAAAGAGATAATGAACTTGTATGATAAACCTAAGTTTAGATTCAAATCGAATATGCTCATGGTTAAAGCGACCTACAAAGCCATTTATACGTAGAAGATCACGAACTACACTGTACACATGTGTCACGGAACATTTCATGCAGTTTGGATACGGTTACATAAACCCTCGCTATATTTCACACACAGTACAGCCAGCTGCTACCTTTCAAACTCTCTTTTACTTGATTTTAGAAAAACAGCATTTCTGGAAAAGAAACCGCTGGAGATACACAAAAAAACTATCTAAGCGCAGTTATTTACCTTTAACCAGTTGGCGACCGTCTTGACGACGCTGGATGCACTGATCAGTACAATCGGCTCGTTGGGACATAATTCGACAAGCTATAATATAGAGGAAAACTTGATTAAACCAAAGGATGACGAAGTACTTACGCCATATACATATATACAGCATATATACCATATACGTACAGCAAATACATTGCAGTTGTCTTTAAGACAGTGAGGTAGATAAACATAAACTCAAAATCATCAGATATCAGATAACAAAATCAAGTGAGAACGCTGGGGCAAAGTGGCAGAGGTCGGTTTCGAACGGGAAGTCCGGAGTTAGAATAAAAACGATGAAACGTTCTTTCAAGTAACCGCGAAAACACCTTCAGAATGTTACTTGCATCGCGTTGCTTCGGTGCAACCAGCCGAGAAACAGTTAGCAAATATCTGGTTTGCGAACAGCATAGGCAACGTGCTCTGGTATGGTCATAGAATAGTGGGCGAGAAATATGTTAAAGCTGCCTGATGTGCATTTCATAAGACGCCAGTCCCTTTTACCCATCTGAGAGCTGCTTATTCAGTGTGACAGTCAGAACGTATAACCCGTGCAGTCGTTTGCGATATCGAGTAAGTAACAATAAAACGACCATGCCAGCATTTGCATGTGATACATACTAATTTCCTGCCCCCGCCGCCAGCCAATATATTATGCAGAGTTTGCACCTCAAATTTTACAATAACGAGGAGACTGAAAGGGAGAAAGAAACGAATTGCATAAGCAAACGGGAAAAACTATCACAACGAACATCATGAGTGCCATACAAACTCCAATAAGCGAAACTGTAATCATACACTGTTTTGACAACGAGGTAGAGGATTGTTCTGGAGCTCGAATCTTAATTCTAGGAACAGACGAAAGCAGACTTGATCTTTAGATCAGAAGGACTTTAGAACAAAAGAACAGTTCAAAAATAGTCTACTCTCTAAATTCGATTTTCAATGCGAAACTTTAAAGTTTATAATTCTTCTCCTCCATGTTTAGTTAGGGCATATTCTACCGCTCAGGTTTCTTTCACAAAGCTTCTCCTGTCAACTACTAATTCCGTTGAGTAAGGAATTCAGCCCACTGTGTTTTAGTGTCCAAAAACGAGGAGCAAATCGATTACCTGAGAATAGCAGGGACAACATGGTGCTTTTGTGCATTAATGCGTCTGATGCATGCGCTTAACATATGTCATTCGTCTGACCCATCAAACAGCTGACTAAAAATCAGCATAAGGCGTAAAGCTAAATTTAAAAAATTTTTTTATGGAAGAACTTGTTCAGAAAAGCATCGAGTAACATCCGTTATGAAAAAGGATACTAAGATCGTGTACGATCGTTTTGAAGTCACTGGGATATGGGCAAAAACATTTTTAATCAC